GTCATTTATTTTAAATTTAAGTTTTTTTACTTAAACTTCCTTCTTAAATTTAAGGTGCATGTTATACGCCTGTGCGTGCTATACACCAATAAATACAGTGAATGTTCAGCCTGTGACTTAGCATTCCCAACATCTGTCATACCATCAGTCAAATCTTTATTACAGTCGAAGACCAGCATACAATCATACCTTTTTTGATGATGTTGATGGCCTCAGCACGGCGCTCCACCCCTATCCTCTGCCACTGATCAGTACTATCCAGATAGTGGGTAGCAATTACTGCAGGAGTCAGACCAATCATATTTTGCTCCCCACAGCCTGAGGGAATCTGAATAAGATGCTTCAGGTTGGCTCCATCAATGGAGTTCTCTATTGTCTCGCTCACAATGTCACCTGGAATGAAGAGGGGAGAGGGATATAATCCTTCTTATAAAACACCTCCCCTTTTTGCTAAAGCCCCATCTCAATAGGGGACAGCAAATCCTATCACTGTTCAAATCCTTCCAGACATTGAGAGAGTTCACATATTGCACTATGCCATTGGCTAACCATGGTTTATTGTTCAAAGCATAATGCTTGGGTTTATACAACACATTAAATCAACTGAACGTCACTTTCTTGCTCCATAATAAAATGATTGCTGGTAATTCCCTCTCATTTTTGCAGCCAATTACCATTTTTTATTCAGTCACCCACCAATATTAAAATTTGTTAGATTCTGAAGTGCCAGGCTGCAACGTGTACCCTGTCATCATGATCTTTGCCCTTCTTGTGAGGGATTTACTCAGTACCACTTAAATCCCTTCTTCACTTCCAGCAAAATATTCTGGGGTTTGTCTTTGGTTTGCTTTAGCTTACAACCCAGTGTTCTTGCTCCCTATAAAGAGATTTCCAAACTACATAATTCATCAAGTTTTAAAACAGACTTCTCACTCTCACTGCAATTCCAACAGGTTCTGGCCTTTACCTGTTATACTGATGAGAGTAACAGGCTCAGTGTTGGGAACTACATCACTAAGGTCCATGGGTTCAATGTTCACGAGTTGCTGTCCAGAAGCTGCAGCGAGATCAGGAGACACACAGAAGGGCTTGTCATAATTCACAACGTTTCCTGGATAATTAGATTTGATGTCATAGATATTGTCCCCACTTCCCTTGGCAATGCCATACCTGAAGCTTGGTTCTGTGGATCTAGCAGGACACTTCTGACATTCTTTAAGATTCTCACCCCTTCTGGCTGCAATAGATCAGGAAAGTTATTGGCAAGTTCCTCCATCAAGGAAAAAAAGTATGTGATGCAACAGATTGGACTGAGAGCAGTTATGTGTCCAAAGTCCTCTAATGAACTTCATAGCTTAATGAAGATTTCAACCTGGGTCTTCTTACTCTTAGAACCTGATCTGACAATAACTGCTTGAGAAAAATCTCTTTCTTACATTTTAAATTGCTGAATGAACTTGGACCAAGAGACTACCTCTGTGTCAATGCATCCCAATGTCTAAAGATAGTATAAAGAGGGAGTATGAACATGGGAAAGTGGACAGGGGAATCTCTACATTTATACTGCAAGTGACATGCAATAGTAGAACTGCTATTAAGGCTGGGTCTACAATATGCTAATTTAAACTAGATTAGTGAAAAACAATATTTGGTTTTCATAACATGCTCCCCTGAAACAAATAAGCCATATTATGGTTTAAAGGGATACCCTTGCTTATGCAATATGATGAGCTATAGTGGGATTCTCACAATGTGCTGAATCAAACCCTGCTGAAATCAAGCATGTCATGCCAACCCAGTCAGGCAGGACACACTATTAAATATTTATCATTTTGAATGTGAAAGTTGACAAGTCTCTGAACTACAAACATCAAGAAAATAGCTCTAGGTTGTCATAGTGCACACATGACAAATCTAGTTGAGGCTACTCCTCCTCCCTTTACTTTCTCCACAGCACTTACCACCACCCGGAGCTTCTTCCTCACACCATCAGCCAAAGGAATTCCCTTCACAAAAGCTTTCACTTCAATTTCCACATCTCCCACCTCCAGAGGAACAATCACATACGTAACATCGTGAGAGGTGCCAGCTTGAACTGTGATGTGCTGTCGTAATCGGTCTGTCCTAGTGCTGGAACTGCAGAGTTTTTCGTTGTACACCAGGTCCACACGGACCTATTTAACACAACAACAAAGCAAGTAGTCACAGAGCTTCCATGGTATTCGTCAGTCTCCCAAAACTGTTCTTCAAGCAAGAATCTAGGAGAGGTTATGAAGAACATATTTGAAAGCTCTTGGGAAGAGTGCAAAATAAGTGTTAGATTCAGGACAAACCCAGAGTCAGTGAAGTCTGATTTTTCCTACATTTCCTGAATATCAGGTTGAAGTCTCAATCAACATGAAGACTTCCAATTCCCATCTCTACATAGAATTCAAGCTAAATTTAAATTATATTTTGTGTATGTTTCTCCTTCAGCCAGATTCACTTACTCAAGATCCTGGTCTTCTCTCCTACAAGAGGCACAGATCCTGCAAAAGTCTTGGCAAATAGTATTTTTGACATGTAGAAAGCATTTGAAGTATTCAGTTATTGTATTTCACTGCAACTGTGAGGTTTCTTCTCGTTACATCTGATTCTTCGGTTCATTTCAGCCCATGACACACTTCGTAAAGAATATGAGAATCGAGGAGATGCTAATACTGTTAATATTGGCAAGTCTACTACATCATATTAAATTGGTCTCTGGCCAGAGACCAGTTAGCAGGAATGGGACCAGACAGTAAGGCAGGAGTTCTCTGTATTTTCCAATATGGAAAAACATTTAATGGTATCTGTGGACCACATCCAGTAAATCAGTTAAATGCCCTTATAGCTATTTAGGTACAGGTTTTGTTACTTTGTGTAGTAGATAGATATCCCTTGTGTCCCCTATCTTTGTGATATGCAGTTAATAATTCATTTCCTTATGCAATCCCTTAGCTGAAGATGTCAAGTAACTAGCTTGTGATTTCAGGCAGACATCAGGGATATGCCTGGGAAAGAAGAGCTACTATTATTACTTGAGATCTACAATATATTTTTCCTGTCCCTCCAGGGAGATCTAGTTGCCATGACAAGTTGCAATGACTCACATTGAAAGTCCATTTTGCATAGTTGTACACCACAGCTCGTATGGCCACTTGCTCATTGCGCACAATGGAATAGGGAAGCCGTAAGTCAATGAAGAAATCTTGCTTCACCATGATCTCATAGGGGTCAGCTATGCAGATACCTAATTGATATAGTGCGGGGTGGGGTGGAGAAAGCATTAGTAACCTACATCTACAATATTAGTCGGGGGACGAACAATTTTTGTCTTTAGATTATCCCTTGATTCTAGCTTAAGATATTGACCATGTTGTTTGATTCCATTAATGAAGTTCATACATTCTCTGTGTAACAGCAGAGGCTTTGTTTTGGGGAATTTTGTCAACGCACAACTAGACAGAGGTGAGGACACTTTTTAGCTTGAAAACTTTTCTTCACAGCTAACTTTTGGAAGGGGGTCATGCCAGTGGAGTCAAAATAATGATGAGTGCAGTTTTCAAATGGTTGCTACACATGGAGCAGAGAGAATATTAGCAGGATACTCTGATTATGATCACTGAAAAAGAGTATCCAACCATTATTATCCTTTCAATCACAGAGATAAAAGCATATATTTGTCCTGAAGTACAACTCTATGCATGTTGACATAAATACCATTGCTTCCAATTGAGCTTACTCTCCTATGTTTAGGACTGCAGTCTTCAAGACTTTGACCTCCTATCATGACTCAAACTTGGCTGCCATTTTAAGCTTTGTATGTAAATAAAGAGCTAAAATGACTATGCTCCATCAAAAGTAACTCTTTGGAAGCTAACATGGATGGACCTTTCAAGGTGACAGTGTGACCCCACTTTATTCAATTAGACAATTATTGCAAGAGTGAACAGATGCAACTATTAATCCACATGCAGAAGAACGAACATTGTGGCAGATCCCTGCAAAGAGCCATGCAGAGTTTTCTTCAGCCTCCCAGAAAACAGAGTACAATTTGAGATTTTGCCCTCTCCATGCATTGTCTTTTTATCAAAATCCAACCTCTTTAAAGAACTCTATCCTTGACCAAAGCTAGATATGCAATTGGCTTTTTTTTTTTTTTCTTTTTTTACCCTTTGTCTTGGAAAGACTGATGGCCAGCACTTCCCAGGTGGTGATGGAGTCCTCTAGGTACAAAGGAAGTGTTTTGGAAGAGAACCTGGAAGTGCAAGAGGAGGTAATGAAAAACAATGGACTTCTCAAGGCACAACATAGTGAAGCTAG